GAACAATAGTGCACGTCTCTTCAGGACCAAAATACCCAACAGTGTAGTGTTTACAAAAAAGAAAAATCGCGCGACATTGATTCTACAGTTAGCAAGCGCTGTGGAACTGTTCGCTGTGGTGTAGCACAACGATTTTATTAAAAAAACTGACCAAGTAAAGTTTCTCTTAGGGCAAAAGAAACCGTGTTTTGATAAAGACTTTGTAAACTCTCACGACAGGAGTCTGTAGGCTAAAATAACTGATGATGAGAAGTTATTTTTTTCTTTTGCATGAAAATTAATGAGCTTCCCGCGTGGCTAAAATAACACATCCAATATTTCAATCTGTTTGAGTTCATTCAGGTTCTTTCAACTGGAACATAGGATTATTTGTGTTCGTTTATGAAATCAATAATCACGTTTTCGAATCAAAACTGTTTACAAGGATCCATTCGTACTTAAGAAGATCTTGAATTCTTGACTTGTTTGTGTTACAACGATTTGTGGGTGAAAATGAAACCACTTATTTGTGGTCTAAACGTAGGTAAAGGTCGTCATAGGGTGCTTTGAGAGATCACAAAATTTAATTAGGAACGAGTCCAGATAAATAGTCTCACACTCGTGAATTACAGAGAAAACAAATCATCAGACTGAAAAGAAAACTCTCTAAGGTTTTTCCTCATAAAAGAAAAACAGGTATTTAAAACTAAAACTATCATAGCTTGTTCAACAAAAGCATTTTTGAACGGGGAAAAAAATGGAAAGCTGGCTCGATAAGTTTATTATAGAGCTCTGGTATTTGTTTACAATCGTAGGTCGTGTTGTTTCAAGTACCAACGGCAAATTATAGAAGTTAAATTAAAACATCACTTAAGGAAAACTCCAAAACACAACGGAAAAGCTTTAAATGTAACCAGTTACACGATTTAAAACATAGTTTGGTTAAATTAACTTATGAATTGTTTTTTCAATAAAACTGATTATGTGAACGTGTAATCGAAATTACAACCTTAAACGCTCTGTTCTTTTGCGTTTATCAATCTCTATGTTAATAAACTGGTTTCCTCTTATTCATTTGAATATGCTAAATCAAAAGAGCACGTTCGTGGAAAAAAGTTCTTGACAGCGGAGAAGTTAAGGTCAACTGGTGTTATATACATGAAACCAAAAACGTCACGTAGAGTGGCTCCACACAACCAGTTTCAACTTACAACTGATTAAAAGTTACGACATCTCTCAACTTTATTTTTATTTTTAAGCTCTTCGACCATGCAAAGTTTTTAAAGAAAAATAACTGTTTTCTCTTAATTGCGTTCGTGTAGATTTCACAATCGGCAACACATAATCTTTAGACATATTGCACAAGCAAGAGTTTGTTTACTTGCCAAACTATTAATATTTATGAAGCAGCAGTAAGTCCGGATAAGAACTTCGCAGACGCTATAGAGCGTGCGAAGGTAACAAATTAAAGTCACTGTGTTGCAAGTCATGGAAACTGAGCTTGTTCTGTTAAGCTATATAGTCGGTCATTCTAAAGGATGGCAATGTTCACATCCTCGTACTTTGATTGTGAGACTGTACAACAATTCCAATTTGGAAAAGGGTCAATAAAGAAAGGCAGAGGCCACTTATATATTGATAGTTAACGAGTATGTACCTACCTTGCCTTGCCTCTTCTGAACATTATAGGAGAGGCAGGTTGTCCCTTGATGTCTCCGTGCAGATCAGCTGTAATGGTCGTGCGAGGAAACCTGACACCATTCATCTTGTTCATAGCTGCTACCGGCTCAGAGCCGCGTCTTCGATCCAGCAGTGCTCTTGAAAATTTTGGCGAAACCGGAGCGGTACTGCGCGATGGCTTGAACAACAATCGTGGACTCTGTGGAGAACCTGGCGCGCTTTTCGAGACAAAATCATCGGTAGGTGACTCTTCCGTCGGATTCAATCGTCGATTCAACATGGGAGAATTCGGCCCGCTGTTAGTTCGTACAAGAGCTTGTTTCATTCTCCTAATTTGCAGGTTAGACGCGGATGAGCTCAGGACGTTTCCAAGGGCATGAGGTTTCTGTGTTCGGCCTTCTAAAGGAGGCAGATGATTTTCATTTACATCAGCTTCTTCCTCTTCCTCGAGGTAGATTTTCGGACAGCGCACAGTTCGCGCGCTCTTTGGCCTGTAAGGATCGGTTTCCTTAAACCGCCGTTGGAGCAAGTGTTGATTGGATTGCACATTAAGGGTTTGCGGTCTACTCGGCCTGGGGGAAATATACGACGACTCGTCAGAACTTTCTGAAGAACATGGACTGTGCGCTTGTTGAGGGCTCCTCTCACACGTTGCCAAGCCATCTTGTTGATTCACTCCAACATGTGAATTTGGGGGCGTCACCTGTTCTGATTTCGAGTTCACAGCAAAACTCAATCCTTCGTCACACTCGGTGATCACTAATTCTTCGTCCTTGACACAAATTGGTTTAATCACATCTGCACTTCTGCTGTCACCATCATCTTGTCCTTCGCATACGGAAATGTTTCCTCTTGATCGGTTTTTTTCTTCCACAGAGTCCTCTGACTCGCTTTCTTCGCTCAAATCTATTCCAGACTCGGCGGAATTGCGTTCCATTCGTTCGCCCTTTTCATTGTACATGTATTTATAAAGTAATCTTTCCGTCTCGCTATAATTTAATCGTCGCGCAATATCAATCGGGGTCTCTCTATTAATGTCTATTAGTGTTAAGTTCTCCTTTGATGGTTTGATCAAATGTTTGGCCACAAACTCCACACAGTTTACCTTTCCACTTGCTGCAGCAGCGTGAAAAAGATTCCTACCCGCTCGAGTAGTTGTTTGATGGTCGCACTGAATGTCCATAGTTTGGAGCCGCTCCAGTAATTTTTCATGTCCACCGCAGCAAGCGATGTAAAAAGCGACAAACAATCGCTCCTCTTTACTGATCTGTTGCATAGGAAGCTTAGTTCTTATGCAAACGTTCTCGATATCATTGTTCAAGCAAACGCAAATAAACTTGTTCCACCACACAGGTACTTTAACGACAACGACAGCATCATTCCCCATCATCTGAATAGCTTCTGTGAGGGGCATCCAGTCGTTTAACTCCTGGTTTGGGTTTTTCAAAGCGCTGACTTGCTGTAGATTACATGGGATACCAAATTGCAACTCACAGGTGACCTTTAAGTCCCTGACAGTCGCATTCCGTTTATCGCGAACTTCAATCTTTTCTGTTGATCCATTTGGTAACTCAATTGAAACCACTTGGTTATCTTCGGTCAAAGACTGCGCTCCCAGATGATTTGTCATTTTTTAGACTTTCTGACGTTGCACATATGCTCTTGACTGAAGAAATATTTCTTCCCTGACTTGAGTCAGCGGACACCAAACACCACACGACTTTATGACACAAGCGACTTTATATTTGTGATACACTCGTTGGCACTTGTTCTCCCTTTATACAACACCGCGCAACTGGTAACGTCACCGCATAGTGTGACAATGACATCAGTGAGGTTCCTCTTTGATTTCCGGTGGTCATTCGCTGCCACGATACTATTTATGGTGAAAGTTCATTCCACACTTCCGATCCAATGAACTCTAGCATGTCATTTTGAGTCTCTTCGTCAATTTTTTTCTGGATGTAGAACATGAAATTAAATATTTTGGTTTATCAATTCACAGCAATGGCCCTGGGTGCAGATTTTATTAAGACATTATCTACGTGAGTAATTAGCGATTACTGTTTACTAAAGACGTCACATGTTTATTGTTTCCTCTAATTTTTATAGTGAACCCCTCAGTAATCAGATATCAAGACATATCTGACACCAGAGTCACGAATAACACGAACATTGAGCGATTTCAGGTACACTTGGGTTCTCAGTTGCTGCTTTCCTATATAGTCTTTCTAACTTTTTCCTCGGTAATTTTTTTCTTGTAAAGTCGTTGTTATTGCTTAATAGAGCAACCACAAATTAATTAACACCGCGTCGTCCTTCGCATTTGAGGTGGTTTTGAGATACACTTATTCATTCTCTCCGGATTTTCGAGACAAAAGGCTAATTTGAAGAAGATTAGAACTTTAAGGCTACTTTAATCCAGGTCTTAAGTGATTTTCTAAATATCCATTAAACGTGATACTAAGTAAAACAAGTAAATTAGACTCGCAGAATGTCACGTCAGACCTTTCAAAGTATGAAAGCGAAGAGTCATTTTTACACCTCACCTACAGTTTCCTTTATCTAAATCAGTTATTTAATCTGTAGGATTTACCAGATTCCGTCATTTTGTCGTTTCATGAATCCTCTGACGTCAAGACTTGAACAAGAAAGACATTCTCTCATGGGAAATATAAATATAAGAGGTAAGGGAAGAGCTGAATTTGGGTGGGCATGTACTAAAATGTTAACCACAAATGAATTAATCCATCTTTCGCAATGAATTTTCACATATCTCACACAGGGAAACAAATCTTCGCTCATTGCATTGAATTTTTCACAGTTCCACATAACTTGAGGAAAAGGACATGAACGTTCCTCAATCAAAGAACTCTAAAAATGAATTTCAGATTTTATTTTCCTATTAATTAGTTGTCAGTTTTTGGCTATTAGTTATATGTTAAACATACCAGAACGCCTTTTCATTATGAATTCAGTTTTAAATCCTGACATTCAAATCAACGTAAAATGTTTGGTTGTTTTGTAGAAACGAGAAAGACAGATCCACGGTCGAATCAGTACTTGCTATAAATGGTGGAAAATTTGGTTCACTTTGAAATTCGTGTTTATCGACCCTGAGTGCTGATCTAATATCACGGGAAACAACATGACTCTCCGTAAACCTAATGGGGTCATCAGTTTTATTTTTGCAGTTGCTGTTGCTGTTATAGTTTTTTTTTCCTCGTTTCTCGTTTCGAAAATTTGTTTCTTAAATTATAAATTTAAAGTATTCCAGGCGTCCAGTTAGCAAAGGAGACGCAAAAGCAAAAAAATGATGCGCGTTTTTTTTTTTTTTTTTTTTTTTTTCATTTTCGCACGACGAGATTAACGTTCCCCGTATAGAAACTAATCCCTGAGACAGTAAATTATTCTTTTAACAACAATCAACGGTTACATTTACCCGAATCGTGCTGGTCCTTTGAGCACAGATTCCGAACTTGATAACAACACGTTTAAGAAAAGCCAGTTACTACAGCTGACCCTCCTGGCTTCCTTTATTCCGGTTTCTTCGCTTATATTGGCTGTCCGGCTCTTGGTAGTGTCTGGGAAATATCAGATGTTAGTGCATTCTTGAGAGAATTAATGAAGGGTTCAGCCCTGGATGGACTAACGAGGTCTTATTTGACTTTGTGAGTAACGGTGAAAAGGGCTGGAAAAAGATCAACTCAAGTTTTTGTATGAATTGGTTATTAGATTTCAAATGAATAACGGATGAAGTCGATTAGAGACAATTCCTGTTAGTTTTCGTTAAAAAAGAATTTCTCGAGGAAGATCGACTTGAGTCGACTACTCAGTGATTCAATATACCTTAGAGTTATTGAACTCTTTTCAATTAACATAAGAGGACAAAAACTTGGCAAAGAAGCAAAGCAGAACCTGGAATGCCAGCTTTGATTATCTAATAATCTGCCAGTGTCCTACCCAAATGCTTTAATCTGCTTGGCCACGCTACCTAAAAAAACCATGAGACTGTACAACAGTTTAATTTTGAACGACTAGTAGATTTACACTGAAACTAAATTTCTATGGGTGACATTTGATACGGGCCTCACCCTCACCACTATCGCGCGACAGGAATCGAGAATAAATTTTTTGTTGGTTTAAGAAATAATGTTAAATAGAAAAAATATATTATTTGATTATTGTGGAAAACGATGTCAGTAATTTTTTTAAAATGTTGTGCGTGGCTTGCCGGCCTTTCAGTATATCTGTTGCTATCAGGATGCCATCCGCACAATTTCTAGTAAATCAGTACCTCTACTGCGTTGATGCTCCATTGAGAAAGCATTACCTGTTGATGAATTATCTTCAGAGATATTTAAGAAGATATATAATGGATAAGCATTGGTAAACCTTATTTTCCAGGAGCTGCAAGCTTATAGTTCTGGTCGGAAATAGAAAACTAAAAACCGCTAACAAAAGATAATTGAGGAGCAGGAAATTTTTCTAAGATGTTTTTGGCTTTCTGACGCAGTTCCAGAGTTTGAATCTTTTGTAAGCCACTTGAAATAGAGACCTGTGTGTTTGTCGGCTGGAATTCCGTTTTGCATCTCTGCAAAACAAAAGGCAATAGAAAAAAACGTGATCGAAGAGAAATGAAGTGGAACAAATATTTACAAAGCGCTGGATGATGTTACTAATGTGCTTTACTAAAGCATTAACGCGAGCTATTCCGGCTATTTAAGAGATCATAAATGCTAACTTCTGCCTGTAAATTTGGTTTTGGTTTAAATCTAGTGGTTTTCCGGTCGGCTTTCTATAATTCGCGAATCAGTTTGAGAAGGTACTAGAAATTTGATTATTGTCTATTTTGTCAGTCGATAACAGTCAATATTGCCTCAGGGCTTGGTACAAGAAAGCTCCTCTTCTTCCAGAAGAAAACGTGCTTCAAGACAGGCACGCAATCTATGAACATGATTTAGCAGCTATTATTTGATTGTACAATGTTTTTAGGAATCCTCCTGCACCCATTTCGTGTTAAGAGGCCTTCGTCTCACAAGATGTCCCATTTGCTTTACGCCGTCATTAACAGACGGCTACAGACCTCCTTCGACCACGTTATTGTGTTTAAAGTATTTCCTGCTTTCCTACTCTGATTAATTTCCTTCTCCGCTTTTATCCTGTCTTATTTCCCACGCCATATTCCCCATCGAGTTTTCCGTGACCTTTCAGTTTTCATCAAAACGCTTTGCGCTGTTGTTAAAAATAGGTTTTAGTGAGAAGTCAATTTGCGCTCTTTCGTTGATGCTCGTTTATTTATTTTTTACCAAATTTTAATTCCCTTTAATGCATGCTTTATTGTGACTGGATTATAATGCACAATTACATGGTGGAATATAATTAGTGTGCTTTGTTAGACAAGTTGTACATGTAGATGTCATTATAGCAATATATCTTTTGTTTGAAGACTTTCGCTTCATGATATCACGTTTGGAAGAGACGAGCTTTCCTTAGGACATATAAGGTGTTGATTTGCTCTCGATCAGTGGCTGAAGTACTTCCGCTTTGATGGAGCTATGCTGTAAACTAAGACGCTGATGTAAGCAATATCAGCAGAACACCGGCGTTAAATGAACTTAAATGATAAAAATAAACGAAACTAATTGTTTGGGTTTGGGTGTCTCGTTTGCAATGTCCGTCGAAACCACTTGTAAAAAGGAAAGAACGTGGGAGAGTAGAAAAGTCAGTTTTGGAAATGAATCTGCAAAGTAAAATACCGTTTATTTCGTGTTTAACTGCTGAAACCACAAATTAAATATGATAACGAGCTTTCTTTCAAAGACAATGCGTTGACTGAGATAGGAGAGCTAACTCTTCCAATTGTAAACACGATGACGTCACTTTGGTAGAATCGTCACCCGCGGTGATTTGTGGATCTCGATCATCAGGTCATTCCAAACTTTCAAACCTATGGTAACAGCCAGTACATCTATCGTTGTTGACTCGCCAGTTTCAGAGAAGAAAAAGGGAGCTTGACTGAATATGGTTTAGTTACGACAATTCTATTTACAGTCTAGTAAGTATGAGTACTGAGCCTTCTAAAGTAAGAGTGGATAATTTATTTTCGCCATAGTCCATTTGTCGCCCCCATTTCAAGAGAGCGTTTTGCGCCTTTCAAGTTAAGGAGGATTGCTATTTGTCAGAATTTAGCATCCCGCTAGTATGGAACTTAAAAAAGGTATTAAAAGAAGGATATACGCATGCAGCTGAAATCATTGTCGAGTTCGTTGTCTGTTAAATTTTCAAGTCATTAATTTATGGCAACGAAACTCCTCCCGCAATACTGCGGTACACGGTTAAATTATAAGAACCCATAGTGGCGTCTTAAATTTATAACTGAAGAACGTTAGGTGATGAAAGGTTATCGAGTTATTTGTTATTTTTAACTTGGTCAACTGAGAGACTTTTCAGCTATGAACACTTTGGTTATTTGATTTGTTTTTATCTTAAGCTTGTAGATCAAACCGTCATGGGATATTTCAGGGTCATATTGTTAATGCAACTAGTTGCCGTTGTAAAGGTAAAATTGAAGTTTTCTATAAACCTCTATTGGGTGAGAAGGCAAGTTTTTAAAGTCTTTAACTAAAGCTCTGTTTGCTGAGCGTTGGCTTCAGATAGGAAAATGTCTTAAATCAACTACGAGCATAAAACGACATTTTGGTTACCCCTACATCAACTCAAGTACCTGTAACAGTGTCGCTTAATTATGGATACAAACAGAAAAAAATTGAGAAGAAAATGAACGAGAATCTCTAGAATGATAAGATGGGAAGGGCCATTACCAAATCTCAAATTAAAGCAATCTTTACGTTCAAAATAGAAGAACTTAAATTGTTTTGTTAAATGAAAAAAATTGTCCGCCAAAATGGCATTGGGAACTTTTCCCTTAAAATCGCTGGGTTTTAATTCACCAAGTTACACCTGTTCATACCTGCTGACTTACCCGCCTCTCGTTTCCTTTGGGCGCTTTCAAAACACTTTTGCCAGGGAAAATAGTGTGGAATGCTTACACTAGCCACGTGCCAAAATGTGTACCTCGTTAAGATTTCATTTTCAGTTCTACAAATAAGCTTAATTTCAACCAAAAGGGATTGACTGGGAGCTCGCCAATGAACCAAAAATTAACTCTATTTTGTATCAATTGCAGTGAGAATAAATTTTAAAACGAAAGTGTGATCCAGTGTTTCAATCTATATTTGATCTTGATACTCGTCCAAGATAAATCTTGTCAACGCCATGATTATCTTTTAGCTTGTTCACATTCCGAGGGAACAATGGCCGAGGCTTGGCGACCAAATAACCCAGGATATTCTGGATTCAATTCAAACATTTGATCTTCTTAACCAAGAACTCTCCATGGGATTTTTTGTAAGAGGAGTCGCGGGCCCCCAGGGACCTCCGGGAGCAAAAGGTCCCCTTGGTAGTTCCGGAATCACTGGATCAGCTGGCATGCCAGGATGGCCTGGTCCCCCAGGACAGCATGGCCAGGTTGGGTTACCAGGACCACCCGGACCTCCAGGGCCACAGGGGCCCCCAGGGGCAAAAGGAGGAATGGGATTCGGAGGCTTGCCAGGACAGGTCGGAATGCCCGGAGTCCCTGGGCATCCAATGTGGAAGATAACAACGGATATTTATACTCCGCTATATACAGTGCAAACGGTAAGTGCAGCAAGATTGATAATCTTACGGACATGGCAGACAGTCTCTTAAGGTAGGTAATTTAGTGTTAACAACTGAGTTGAAAACGTAAATTAGCCACCGTAAAGGGTAGAAAAGCTGACGTTTCGAGCGTTAGCCCTTCATCAATCGCTCTGACGAAGGGCTAATGCTCGAAACGTCAGCTTTTCTACCCTTTACGGTGGCTAATTTACGTTTTCAACTCAGTTGTTAACACTGAATTACCTGCTATACTCTCCCACCGACGCAGCACCACAGTTTCTTTAGAAACTTTCCCCTTTAGTCACTTAAGGTACTTCTATTCACATATAGCAGTAACGTACGAAATATTTGCATTGCTGTTAAGATGACAGACATAAAGTTTCTAAGAACACAGTAGTGAATAGCCGTCTAGGGAATTCTGGTGAAGATTAATTTATGAAAAGTTTATCAGCGTTCGATTGGAAAATTGTGCCGACCACGTTGCACCCGAACTCCCATTTTATCACTGAATTGAAGTTCTCTGGCAGCTTAATTGTATAAACTAGTGTCTATTCTTAAAGAACCAAAACGGAAAATTTTTAAAGAGTGGGAGAAATAACAGTTTTGTTGACCTGACTTCGCAGAACGTGACCGTCATGTGTGTTGGCGACCGTGCGTTATTACAATGCAGTCCTGGCAAACGAGTGAAAGTAACTCAAGCTCGGTGGGGAAAGGGTAACTCTGTGACATGCACCAGCTCTGCACCTGCCGATTCATCTACCTCTACACCTAACACAAATGTCCCAGATCCAAGTCATGTGACCGACCAAATAAGGAAACGCTGCGCAAAACAACAACATTGCGATGTGCAGGCAAGTGCGCCATTCTTTCAGAGTGTTCCGAGCTCGTCTAAGTATCTAAAGGTGTGGCATGAATGTATTCCTGATGTCTCAGGGGTCATTTTACCAACACGGACCGCAAGAAGGGAGAGAGTTGACCCCAATATCCAAAAGAGAGATTTCTTTCTTCGATCAGGTGAAAAAAAAGGCACGGGGTCTGAACCTGTCAAGTGGTACGCTGAAGGCTTGGTAACTGGTGCCTCTCGCAATCTCAGTGGTGGCAGTGTAAAAGAAAATGCGCACAGGGGCAAAAGCAACGAGCAAATCTCATCCAGAAGGAACGAATCAGCAGCAGAGAAGGAAAAGAGAAGTGAGGGTAGCTACAAGAGCGCCCAGTTAGCCCAGGTGTTGGATGAATTGATGCGACCACCTTCTGTATACACATAACTTAAAGATTAAAAAAGCGATTCGGTTCGATTACTTAGCCATTGTTGTAAGAACGAATTGCTCCAGATACATCGATGAGCTAGCTAAAAACGCGCACTAAAATAACATTTAAGAAACATTCCGCGTGGTTGGTGCTTTCATTGCTGTATGAATGCCTAGCCATAGTGTAATCTCTAGCCTAGTTGTCGCATAGTCTCTATGTGTCAAGCTTAGGCACATTTGCACATGTAACTATTTACTATTTAACCCACACCAAGCTGTATGGAATTAAAATATTCCGGCAAAATATTCGTTTCAAAGGCCTATCAGTCATTGCACTGTGCAGAGTAGTTAAAAATCAAGTGTTTCCATTCTGTGGTATACTCTGTATAGTTGGGGGGCAATCTCGTACCCAGATCCTACCGTGTAAGTGTAACAGAAATGTAACAACCGCTTGGCCTTAAAAGGTCTGGCTACGAGACTCGTGGAAGGGTACCCCTACTCCTACCATGGGAGTTAGTGCACTCAGGATTCTGTCTTACACCTCATTACTTATCTTTAGCGTGATCCTTACAAATAATGGTTTGGTAGAATATCACGAAGCCTTTAAATGTAATGTTACATGGTCGATGTTGCTCCATCGCTCAACTTCCATACCTGTTTCAAGTGACGATAAGAGCAAATCCCTCCAATGATCTACTCGTTCATTATAGGCTGGTACTGATGATGGATAGATCTGCTAAGCTTTCATTATGGCTTGAAACCTTCGATATGGCGTTATTTATTTTGTCTTTTTTTAAAGGGAGCGCTTAACTCAGCCGCCAAAAAGTGGGCGGACTTTCTAAAAAAGGAACGCTTGATCTCAGGTTGTGTACCGTGCTGAGCCTGACTCCGGCTGAAAATCAATTTAAGATGCTACATCGTCAAAAAATCTTAAATTGATTCATTTTTAATTTTCGTAACAAACTGATAAACGTTACGGCCGGTGCGAGTGTAGATTTCTGTAGGCCGTTTAAGTTGACTGACTCAGTACACGATAACAGAAGGTTTGAGTTGGTTATTGTCCCAGAACAGTGACGCAGATCGCCTTGAGTAGTCACTCTTGTTGTGAATACGCCAACTTTTCTGAACTGTCATCTGTATAAATTTGTTTCCTATTTGAAAAAAAGAGAAAGAGCCTCAAATTCATCACTTCATTGTTTGCATAAGAATTTGGTATTCCTATTTGCCAAGACAGTTGTCGAGACTAGACAGGCTATGGTTTCCAATCTCTTGGTGCTCCCTCAGAATGGGAAGGTCTGACACTAGTCCCAGTACCTACACGCGTAGCGTGGCGGGAAGATAGTGAAAGTAACGAACCATTGTGTTTTCGGATAGATCCTTCGTTTTTAACCAAGACTTTGGAGATCTACAGACAGTAGAACTCCAACGGCATGATTGGTTCAAGTGAGTAAAATGATAATTTAAAGTTTGGACATGGCTTCCATGTAACACGGTGTGGATTTTCTCTTACATGTATATCTAGAAGCCATGAGAGAACTGTCGTCGCTCAAACAAGAGCTAAAATGCTGGGAAAATATGTTTGAACGAACCCATGGCCGTAAGCCCAGCAAGGTATGATGAATTTGATTTCTACACTCGTTACTGTTGTGCAAATAATCGGCTGATTTCCTTACGAACGCGAGGTATTTATGTATGAGAGCGTCGGCAATTTCAAAGCAATTGTTTGTTTTGCAGTCTATTTCAACACGAACTTTCACTTGATTATAGCATTTTCCTTGCCTTGTTCCTTTTGATTAAGAGTACCAATTTTGTTCTTTTATACAGGATGATATCAGCACTGGTTCAGAAGAAATACGAGGTACATTTAAGCTTTTGTAGATGTAAATAAACTCACAGTTAATTGGGAGTATAGTGTACGGTTGGTTTCATTTTACCATAGACAACAGTGAGGTAGCTTTTGAAGCTCATCAAATAAGTCAGTTATTTCTGAAAAGTAACAAAACAGGAGTTTCTTACTTATATCTCCTTAATCTAGTTCCTCTAAGAGTATTATAAAACTTTCTACTCTTTTTTTGTTTGAATGTTTTGTTTTACCAGCTCATTATTTTTAAAACCTTCTATTTATTTAGGTTCATGTATTTGGATGGGGCTGTGTAAAATTAAGGATGAATATCACTTTTGTTTGCAGGAATTGTAGGAATGCTAGACAAGAGGGATTTCTGCAACTTCTGAAAACCCAGTGATATTCATTCTTAATTTAACATGAAAACTTTGATTACCGATTTTAATTAAATAAAAAGGTAAAAAGTCACATTGTTGCACAATTTTGTAGGAAGCCATTTCAGTGATCAGTTATTGTCAATGAACTGTAGAACATGCAAATCAGCTGAATGAAAATTTACTTTTGTACAACTATGCAAAAGCAATGAAACTGACTCTGCTAAAAATATATTTGTCATCAATGACGAAAGTTGAGCCTTTTTTGATTATTTCAATTTCAAGTAATTTTGCACTTGTTATTTACCAAAATTAGCAAAAAGTCTTTTCTCTCTCTCTTTCTCTGATAATCAGCATTTAGTAATTTTGTCCTGTGAATTACAAAGCTCATAAATGTTGTCAATGTAAAAGTAATGTCACACCTTTCAAAAATAGAATAGGTGATAATAATTCTATTACATGCAGTTTATGTATGAAGGGGAGAAATATAATGTCAAGACTGTGTTATCTGTCCCAGTCTTTATGTATCACAAAGTTTGAGTCTGACAAATCTTGGAATCATCCTGATCCTCATCAAACAGCAGCCAAATAAACTTGCTTTGTGATGAGAGGATGCCTTAATATAGTCTCTACCTTCATTTCTCGCAGAGTCTTACAAAAGATACAGAACACTGAAAGAATCATTGTTGAAGAGAGAGACTGTAGAATGCCAACAGGTGTTTAACTATTGAGACTGTTTTCAGAGAATTTGTTGTTACATATTATTTTTTAGATGATTTGTTAACCTGATGTAAAGTACTTTTATAGTTTTGATTTAAAATTTAAAAATAATTTTTAGTTGGCAAAGTCAATTTAGCTTTTTCTGCTTTAGGAGTGGCACAGTGACGAAATACATGTAATGATTAAGCTTGGCTCAAGTTATGTTTGTTTATAGCATAAATACTGTACTTCAGGATAGAATATGTTAGGGACCTAGAAAGACCTTTGCAATAAGAAAGAAGACCTACAAGGCTAACTATGGCAAAAACAAGATGCTTTTTGGGTGAAAATGAATACATGCACAAATATTATCAAGTTACATTGCAAACTGTTGCAAACACACAATTACTAAGTCTTTTCCCAATGTTATCTAAGGAGTTCGCTCTCTGTGTTTTTAAGGACATCATTCATTTCTCATCTGTTGTCTCTGACTGAATGATTCCAGGATGACAGTGAGGAAGTTTTTGGCAAGAATTTAAACAAGAAAAAGGCAGATTTAAAGCTTTCTACAATTCCATTCCATGCAAAGGAATGGGCTGACATTACACCTGTCAGATTATGTCATGGACAGAGGCCTAAGAAAAGAGCTGATAAATCACCAACAAAAGAAAAAGCAACAGAGGATAATGTAGATAAGGTTTGTTGGATCGCTTTACATCTTGACCATAAAATCAATGTGTAGTACTACTAAATCATTAAACAACATTTTAATGAGTTTCTTATGTTACCAATATGATTTCTGCACAAATGAAACTTGTCAGCCCTCATTACAACTTTAAAGGTGAAATGTTCCATGCATTTGGCTATGTGGATGTTTTGTTAATGTAGATATTTATTGGTCTATTATTTTGCACTTTTCAGGATGTTTTAGATGTCAAACAATGTGAAAGTACAGAGAAAGAGGCAACCACATTGATAAATTTGGAAAGTAACTTGCAAGATGTTAGAGTGGTCGATACCTCAGAGCATACTTTGAAGTCTTTAACACAGAAAAGAACTGGGTAAATAATTTGTTTATCTCATTTCAAGTTTTGATCTGGGTAATTGACTGACATTCAGGATTTACACATGTTTTGTTGATGAACTTAAATTTATTATTATGTGCAGTTCAAGCTTCCTGCTTCCTAATCATCAATCAAGAAATGTGAGATTCAAGAAAAGGGGAGCAATTTCCTCAGTATGGCTTCAAAAATGTAAACCTGAGTTGCCCCCAAATGAAGACCATCAAGTGTTGAACTTGGATGAATTACAAGAGAATTTGTTTGAATCAGAAAACATTCCCTCCAATGAGCAAGCAAACATTGCTATAGAAAAGGTCTTGGATAAAGAAAACTGTACTTTTGCTAGACAAAATGAAATAAATGTTGGTTCTCTTCCTGAGATTGATCTGGAAACTCAAAAGAATACGGGTGTTGCAAAAGATAGCATAGGAAGGAAGATGTCTCCTGGAACAGGATTTAAGGCAGACAAGAAGTGGAGTGTTCAGGAGAGTAGTAACAAGGTGGATGATAAGACTGTTGCATCAAAATACAAAGACAGGGAAAATAAAACACACCCAAATGCAAAACAACATTTGAAGGTCAGGGATTTGCCTCAGACGTCACAGGAAAAATGTCTGACTGGGTCTGTATCTGTTGCTGATCCTTTTGAGTCAGATCAGATGGGAATGAAAACTGATCCACTAGAAATAACTGGGGAAGCTTCTCAAGAAATTTCAAACCATAAAAGAAAGGCTGATGAAAGAACCTTTGAATTGGAGAAACCTCACAAGAAGTTGAGATGTGAAAATGATCATGAAGAACAAGTCCATGAAGAAAGCAAATGGTAATTTTGTACACAATTTTTTGACATGCGCAACATCTACAATGAAGGTTGTATTTTCTTTTTTATTATATTCCTTCTATTGAAGATAAAGTCTGTAGCTTTGCAGCAAATTTAGATTTTACACATCTGAAAAATTCTGTCAACAAGTCAGTGATTTCCTAAAGCACACTTGTATGCAAGAAAATATTGCAATGGGTCAGAAAAATGTAAATCTCTCTACTATAAGTCTCTCTATGGTAGTATAGCAACTCAATTGGAATAATGAATTGGTATTGCAGGGAAGACGAAGAGAAGAATCTGTCAAACATAGCAGCTGAACCAGAGCTGCCACTCAGAACTGCTAAAGTAAAGTAGGTTGTGCTCTTCTTTAAGATAATTTTAAGTTTTCTTTCTTTCCCAAGAGGGGTGCAACATTAGTTGAGATAGAGGAATGGATTTTGGGAATTTAAATGCTTTGTAGCAAAAGCCTGCCATTTCCCCTGTGTTGGATTGTTTTTTTTAAGATGTCAAACAACGAAGCTTTGTTGAGAAGTGATGTTGTCTTCCAAGAAAGTGCAACATTTAAGTCAGCATGTGATATTAAATTAGTTTGAAGAAAGTAAGATTGTCTCATAACAATTTTTGAATAATTTATTAGGGTGTCATCAGGCCTTGTCAGTGACAATTTCCAGAAGCTCAACATGAAGCACCGTTCTTATAGACGACGTGGAGGTGGTATCAGTGGATCTGCACACAAGAGAAGAGCATGGAAGCAGATCATGAAATCACGGGGTGAATTTGTTCCACAGAAAAGTTGGTCAAGCAAGGGACAAAGTGGAAGGGGTGGAAGATCTGGAACTTGTTTCAAGTGTGGACAAGAGGGTCATTGGGCTAAGAACTGCAGAGGCCCTAAGAAATCTCAAGCAGGGCCTAAAATGGAAAATAGGTAAGTTTGCCAAGCAACAATTTCTTACAAATCTGTTCTCAAGTATTACAAACTGATCCAAACCATGGGAGATCACTCAAAGGAATTGCAGAGGAGACACCCTTTTTTCAAACCTCACCCAAAGTTTACCACTACTTCTTAAAATGCCAATTTTGAGAAGTTTTAAATCCCTTAACCATATTATCTTGGAGAAGGTGGCATATAAGACAATATTTTTTGCATTGTTGCCAAAATTTTATGCATCACTCTTTAATTGCTTTACAATTACATGTATCATTTGTTGGTTACATGTATTTAATTATGTAGGTATCTGTTGGTAAATAGTATTCTGTGAAAACCTGTGAGTAAATAGCATCCATAGACAAGTAGTGTTCCATGACAGTTCAACAAAGTATGCTTAAGGAGGGGCCTCCTATTTGAAACCAGAAATAACAAATATTTGTAGTAGGGGATGACAGAAACATTAGACTAAGTAGTCAATGTTGCAAAAGTATCTACAAGGCTACAGTAAGTAAATAATTAAAAGCATGTCATTTGCCGCCTGAAAACCGATATATTTGCTTCTCAAGCCATAAGGAGGGTCTTTGAATTGCAAGAAGGAATTATTTTGTAAAGCTAGATTTTTAAGGAAATTATAAGGTAAAATCCACAGATAGGTTACAAACTATTCTGTTAATTTGATCATCTTGTTTTTTGTTTTGTTAAGTGATCAAGAGAATGATGGCATTGATATGGATGAATTTGAGCCACTGCCCTCTATAGAAGAAGCTGCCTTAATGGCTGCAGGAATTCATAGGGATGATGTACCACAGGGTGAAAATCTTGCCATCTTACCTCATAAACTTCCAAGGCCAGTGGTCATGCCACCCACCCCTCCCCCAGCAGTGGAGCCATTCTATCAGCCAGTGGATGGAAAACCTGTTGGTAAGTAGAACTTGACTAGTTAGATCCATTTGTTTTATGAAAAGATAGTAAGGAATTCAGTAGCCTCAAAAATTGCTGCCACAAAGCTGCAGTTTAAGTTCAAGTAACTTATTTCCTAACTATCCTAAATTCACTTAACCCTACACTTAGTATTAGCCTTTGATCAGCTCTAGAAAGCCAAACAGTTTGACTATTGACCAAATGATATTGTGTCAACACTATGATTTTCATTTCAGATACAACAAATGAAGTGTTGTCTTCTTTGGAGAAATTGGGATTTTCATCATTCCGATCAGGACAACAGGAAGCTGTCATGAGAATCCTATGCGGTAAGTTTAGAGCTCCTTCTAATTTCTTGTCATGGTAGTGATGCACAATAGATTGCAATGAACCTTTTCTCTTAAATTACTTATTTTTGTTATTAATTCTATTTTTACTTAGTTTTTAATGTACAGTACTTTAATGTGTGTACAATATTTTATTTAACATTTATTACATGGTTGAATCTTGATGTTGATTATATGTTATGATATCTTTTGTTGTTATTCCAGGGATGTCGTCTCTTGTGGTGCTCTCAACTGGAGCTGGAAAATCTCTTTGTTATCAACTTCCTGCTTTTATGTATGCCCAACGCTCATCATGTTTAACACTAGTTATTTCACCTCTTGTCTCTCTTATGGAAGATCAGGTATTGATTCCACACATCATCCTATTAAATTCTAATTAAAATCTAGTCATTAATTGTTTTTTTTTTTAATCAAGATATGTTAACTTATCAAAAATTTGTCCACACTTGATAGTATTACAGGTAAATCTCTGTGACTGTCAATATAGATAAGGATGACGATTTTAGTTTTTACTGATGATACTACAGATCAGTGTAAGTATCTGAGCAACTGGGCATCTACCCCTACCCAAACCCAACAGTTGTCAATTATGTGCAGTTGCCCAGATACTGACATTGATTGGATACTACAATAAAAACATTTTTTAATTATCAGATTACTGGTCTTCCTCATGGATTAAAAGGTGCCTGCCTTCACACAAACCTCACTAAAGCCCAACGTCAGAAGGTAGTAGAAGACCTGTGCTCTGGTAAGGTGTCTGTCCTACTTCTCTCCCCTGAGGCCCTGGTAGGAGGGGGTTCGGGAAATGGGTGCCTTCCTTCTGTTTCACAGCTACCACAGATTGCTTTCGCTTGCATAGATGAAGCTCACTGTGTTTCTGAGTGGTCACACAACTTTCGGCCTTCTTACCTTAGAGTTTGCAAGGTGTGTTTTAAAAAGATCAGCCACAATCTGAACTTGCTTGTGATAATTATTATTATTATTGGGTTGAATTCTTGTCATTTCGTTGATTTAATTAGTTATAACTTTTTTGTCAATTGCTATGTTTGGTTCATCCTGAGAATCTAGTAACCTTGAACATGTAGCCTCGAGCATGTGAACCCTTAACTCTCAGAAGTGATCAATAAGTAACTTCTCCCCATAATATTCATACATTATCCAGCAAACAGGAAAATAATGAAAATGCTAAAATTTATCAGTTAGAGGCTGTTATCTTGATCACACATCAAACTCTTGTAACTAATTTACAAGGAAATATGTAGTAGCCAGAGAGGAGAATTAACAATCAAATTTTGGGAGTTAAAGGTTTAAGTTGAACAAACGTGTGGATGTTTGAAGTTAGCACCAGAAGTACTTTATTCTTTAAAAGGAAACTAAGCAACTTGCGGTCCATAGCAGAGTCCTGGTGGGAACTTCATTGCAATATATTGCCACTTCACAAATGTACTATGTTCATGATCTTGCACTTAATAGGTAAGATCAAGTTCATGGTATTCTTGTGATGTGGTTTTTCACTGTGCCAAATGTAACTTTCACCCTGGAAAACTGTTCAGTACTTTTTCGTTCTCCATTTAGTTTCTGAAATAAAACTTAAATGGCTTTTTATGTGAGGGAGTTAAAGATGGGATGTGTCTGAATAGATGAATTTGCTCTAGCGGGTACATGTACTATAAAATCGTAAACAGTTATTTTCCTTCATGGTTTTGGCATGCCTGACATGTTGTAAACACTCTTCTCATCTGCCCTTTCCCACACCCTTCAATCCAGCCTTTCCTTCATCCCAAATCAAAAACTTAAAAAAGAGATGGTTCTGCTGTCACTCTTTTTGGGCTAGGTAACACCTCAGTACAAAATTTACTTTTGTTAGCTTGTACTTATTTCTATTTTAAGTATAGTCAGTTTCAGTCAAAGAAATGTTATTGCTGTGTGCACAATGCTCACTAAGTCTGGGCAACATTTCAGAGGGAAAATTTATTTTGGCTCTTAGTCTCCAGTCCCAAACATGACCCCATTTAGTAATCGTAATAGGAAGATGAAAATAATGATTTTTATTAAGGGTCGGGAAAGCTTTCCAAGTGAGGGGTTTGTACTGCGGCAGTAATTTTATTGTTCCTTACTTCAAAGGTCCTTCGGGAGAAGTTCGGTGTGCGTTGTTTTCTGGGATTGACAGCCACTGCCACACGTGCAACGGCTGCCTCGGTCGCTGAGCACCTTGGGATTGCACACGATCCTGAGGCTGTGATCAGAGGTGGAGCTGTACCACCTAACTTGTTCTTGTCTGTGTCATGCGACACTGATAAGACCCAGGTAACAAATGTTTGACATGTGCAAAAGGAACATCTTTATCGTCAAACTATATCGGAAGTTTCTTTTCTTATACTACTCGAACCTTTTCTGTAATCGAGTTTCTGATCAACTTTTTTTTTAGAGAGAATAATTGCTTTCATTTTTTTACCCAAGACTTGAAAGGAAGTCTTCAATAGGCGTGTGCCATGTCAATCAAGGGCTAAATGTGGACGTTTAAGTGTATCCCCCCTCCCCCCATGTCCGAGAATTTTTTCTAAAAACAAACAGCTCAAATACATGATTTACAAACGTGCATGGGAGCCAAGAATGCCAAAGAGTGATAAAGCTTCTTCCAGTTTTGTTTTAGAAGTGATCCAGAATTACATTGGTTTTTCTTGACTGCGATCTCTCATTGTGTTAGATGGCTTAGTCTGTCATCTCAACCACTAAGATTGCATGACTAGAATCAATCGTGACTTGATTATTCCTTTTTGCCCGCCCTGAAAGTCAGTTGTGTGCTTTTACTTCGATTTCTCATGAGTTCGTTCTTGACCCTTAATGTGCATTCCTCCAGGCATTGTTGCAGTTGCTTCAAGGCCGCCGCTTTTTACACTGTGATTCAATTATAATCTACTGCACTAGACGAGAACAGACCGAGAAGCTGGCGTCGACCTTACGCACGTGCTTACAGAGCACCAGGCTGGCTTCCGGCTGGAATGGCTTGGAAGAATCAGTAGACGAAGGAGATGCAGAGGAGCCTGGGAAGACCAAAACGAAATCCAAAGGGTGAGGATTTTTCTTCTGCAGTTGAAATTAAGGAGTGTGTCCACAAGAAACGATAGGTACTGACACGGTTTTTCCATCAATCGTTGTTATTGGTTTTGGACCGTACTTTTGGTTTTCAAAGGTACTTTCAAAGGTTCGTGGTCAATTCCAAATTATGTAGCTTGTGGAGTTAACTTTTCAAGGCTTTGTAAGGATATCTTTTTTTACAAACAGGCATGCATTTTCTTTACCCTAGAAAACGCAAGAAGAAGACAGCCAAAGCGACCGTCCCCAAATGGGATGCCGAATGCTACCATGCCGGACTATCTGCCGCCCAAAGACGTCGTGTCCAGAAGCGCTTCATGACAGGTCAGCTGCGTATTGTGGTGGCGACTGTAGCATTTGGCATGGGTCTGGATAAATCAGATGTTCGAGCTATAATCCATTATAACTTACCGCGCAGCTTTGAGAGTTATGTGCAGGAGATTGGCCGTGCGGGACGGGACGGGAATCCGTCGCACTGTCACGTGTTTTTGGATCCCGAGGTGAGTAGAGCGTGGAATTGAACACTTGGACAGACGGTTAACCATCTGTCTCAGAGTGTTGTTTTACCAGTTAACATCAATTTCCAGTGTCTTTGCTCGTCTTTTATTATAAGGGTGGTGTTTGTCTTTGGACTCAAAGTTCTTAAAGGGCCTTATTTCTGTAATCACGAGCCTGGCCGAAGAAAATGTTACTTTTGTCGCCTGAAGCCTCGGGCTTGCAAGATGTAGGAGCTGCAATGGACTTTTATAACTTGGTTGTACCTATTTGTGTCTTAACCTATCTTTAATCAACAGGGTAAAGACATGTGCGAACTTCGTCGGCACGTTTACGCCAACACAGTGGACCGCTCTTCTCTTAAGAAGCTGGTCCAAAGGACATTTCCACGTTGTGATTGTAGAGAACTTCAGAGACAACAAAAAGAACGGCAGCAGGTTGCTGTAAAGAGTGATTCTAATGACTATTTGGATCTAGAAGGAGATTATGACAACATCATAGATACTAACATGGAGGCTGAATTACAAGCTTTTGAGCAAAAGTACCAGAGGGAGCTGGAAGTGCGGGAGGATACTGATGAGAGGCAAAAAATAGAAAGAGAAGAAGGAAGTGAATTAAATCTGAAGTTAGATGAGCCTGATATTGATCCTCTAGGAGACAACAATATCGAGCATCCCAGCCTTGAAAATAGTGTCAAAGGAACTTTAGACTCAAATCCTCCTAGTGAATCCAATACAAGCGCGAAATCCACAGAATTCGCTGACAATAATCTACAGCCGGCTGATCAAGTGAATGCTCATCGTGTATGTGGTGGTCACCCGGTCGCTATGGTAACAGATGTCATTGTTCAGGAGCTCGACCTCCGTGAAGAGAGCATTGCCACTTTACTCTGCTACCTGGAGTTGCACCCTTCCCGCTGGCTAGAAGTACTGCAGCCCGTCAAATCAACCTGCACGGTGAAGTTTTACGGAGGTCATGCACAGTTGAGGGAAGTGGCGCAGAAAATTCCACCAATTGCTGCTGCTGTGTCGCACACCAGTACAACGCTTGCTAATTTCAAAAAATCAGGAACATTAACTTTCCCGGTGGTAGAGTTGGCTGACAAGATGGGCTGGGACCTGGCGCCAGTTTGTCGTGAATTGAGAGCACTTCAGTGGAACACATCATTGTCACGTGAACATTCTCTTTCAAACATGGGGCAATCCGGGATCTTAGTGGAGTTCTCGGATTTGTCCATACATGTTAGAGCGCCTGGGGACCTCTCAGACTCAGAGCGTGACAGTATTTGCGATTTCCTCGAGGATCGCATACTGGCCGAAGAGAGAACTCAACTGCAACAGCTCCAGTTCGTCTATGACTCACTGAAAAGCGTTTCGTTCTCGGAGTTTTGGCAATGCGCTGACGCCGTAGACGATGAAGCTGATAACCAGCTAAAACGAATCGTCAAAAGCTATTTTGAGGATTGCAACGACAAAACAAAAGAGGAGCTTGCAACTTTGGCAGAAGCCAGAAAAGCCTCAAGGGTTATCCGTTCCAGTATCACGCGTGAAGATCACGTGAATTGGGACGGTATTGCACGTGATATTAGAGCCTTGCTAGGAGTCCACCACGATCACTCTTTTACAGGTCGTGCTGTTGCGCGAATATTTCACGGTATTGATAGCCCGTGTTATCCAGCCGAGGTCTGGGGTCGTGATCGCCGTTTTTGGAGGAAACATTTGGACGTAGAGTTTAACAGTTTGCGAAAATTTGCCACTCAAGAACTAATTAGGTTCAGATGAGACTTAATTGAGGAAATATTACGGCAGAGAAATATGAAATACTATGTAATAAATGCTATATTTATTTTTCGATCAATGGTTCAATTTTTCATGTTTTGATCTTGAGAAAGTGTTGAAAAACGTGTATTTGTGTTTAGCAGTCGAAGCCATTACTCTAGTTGACCTTCAGGTGTATTGTTAGGTTTATGGGGGTAGCAGAATTAAGGGAGAGTGCTCCACCTCAGTATTAAGAATGTAGTGAAACCTTGAGTGGTGTCTTTTCCCAAGGGACGGGTGTCATCTAACCATGGTTATATGAGTACCAGGTAACCTTAAAGCATGTTCCCACCTAAAAATGCCATCAGGTTATCTATTTAAAGGAGGCATCGATTTGCGAATGAGATGTGCCAGCTCATATCCAGTTATTGTAAAAAGTACTGAGTGTAATGAGCCAAACGATGTTTGCCTACCCATTCCAAACACACTCTTATAAATGTAACAAGATAGGTGTGTCATAACCTAATCGTTGTAAGATGGTATGTGTGAAGAAATATATTTTCCAAAGTTTTTCATGGTGAAAATATGTTGAGAATAGATTTATCGAAGTGGCTGTTATGTTTAAAGCTAATTTCCAATTCTAAATGATACCAATGATTGTATGAGGAAGCAACAGTGGCCAAAAACTGACTCTTGGCAAAAGTTAACAGAGCAATTCTGAATGATTAAAGGCGAATTTAATTTGTTGATTACTCCCGTCTGCATAATTGGGACTTCCCTCCCTAAGAAATCAGACTACACGATCGATTGACTCCCTATCGTTAGCTGTGGCAGTATTGCATGAAGCCCCTAAAAATCTCCCTAAACCATTCCCCGATAGTTGCCCAAGAATAAACATGTGGCATTTGTGCTCTGAAAGGAGAGGGACCCTGGGTACTAGCGCAGTATAAATGGTATATGCTTACCTGACCAGGAGAATAGGGCCGTCGTCAGTATTTTGCGGCAATTCGTTTACCTGTCATCTCACGGAGCATCAGACTCTGCTTTCTTCCTTCATTTAGGTAAGTTTGAGTTGTTTTGTTCGCTCCAACACCACTTTTAATTACTTCAGGAAGTGTGTATCTCGTTTCTATTCCTTTTACACCGCTGCATTCTCGTTTAAACCGCTTCTTGAGAGCAGAGAAATGACGCTGAAGTGCAAGGCACACAACGGCGGGAACCAGCACTGCGCTAGTTTTGTTTTAAATTTATTAAGGATTGATATCTTTATTTGATATCTAGCTTTATAAATGATTCTCTTTCTATTTGAAATGTGGAATTACAGTTTTTTACGAATCATATTATTCAATTTGAGGATTTTCGGATCCAAAAACTTAATATGTAGGGGTGAAAGGGCATGGCAAGAATTTTCCCCTTTGCAAATGGCGTACTGCTTAAGCTAACCACTTACCTAAACTTTATGGAAAATTTTATAGCAAGTAATCTACATGTTGATTTATATTCAGATAATTTTTACACTTGGGTGAGCATCGTACATGTTTGTATTCATGTATTTTTTAATGGACAAACCTGTCAGAAGAACCTAATGATGACGATGACGATGATGATGATGATGATGATGATGATGATAATAAACTTTTTCCAATTGTCATGTAACTTAAGTATGTTGTTGCTAATTGGGAACACCATAACATAAATAACAGATATACTCTTAGATGTGTGTGAATTAAAACAGAAAAAACCTAATATAGAAATATTATAAATAATAGAAATATAGAGTTTTGTGTTATAGAGTTGTAGGATTATATTTTAAGAATGACAAAAAAAAAACAGCTAGTGGGACATCTTGAGAGCAAAAAATTTTCCAGGTCCATCTTCTTAATTTGTCTTTTAAAACTGTTCAAATTGCACTGTGTTGTACATTTCCCAGTAATTTGCGCCATAAATAAGGCCCTAGATATCTGATAGAATGTTTTCCATAGGTTACTGTATTATATATCAGTATAACAAGGTCTGATGCTGGTAAATTATAATTACTCTCCTTTGTTGGAATAATTCAAGGATGTACTTTGGACAGTCCATTTTTAACATTGAACATCAACACCATCAGGTCATGCTTTCTTTAACAGGTTTTTGTATGTTGATGCACTGTAATTGAAAACCACTCTCAATCCCTTTTTCCTTTATCCTCTCTAGTTTCTGCTGATCAGATGCTCTAAGGAATAGCAAAACAAGTGAGCAATAATTTAGCTAAGGGAGAATTACCTCTTTAAGCAGATGTAATTTCTTCTTTTCAGGAATTAGGTTTTTCATTCTCAAGAGGACACCAATTTTGCAATTATCTTTCTGACAGACTTCTTGAATGTGTGCACCAGAGCTAAGTTTAATATCTATATGGACTCCTCATGGCGTTAATGAACTTGTGCATTCAATTTCTTCATTGTCAATGACAATCTGTGCCTCTTGTGTATTCTTTGCTTTTTTGCTGGAGACATTTCCTAGAATTTGTCTTTGTTTGCCAGCAAGAAATTATTTTTATACCAGTTGGATACAATCTTAGCCTCGTTGTTTAACAGGGTGGCAACCTTTCAATCAGCTGATTGAAAGGTTGCCATTTTTCTATGTAGAAAAATCACTGTTCTTAATACTATAACTTAAGTCATTCTGAAACATGTTCCACAGCAATGGTCTGAAACATGACCCTTGAGGGCAGCCTTTTCTTATATTGTGCCAAGAGCTGTTGACTGTTTCAAGCTTAACCCTTCTTTACTAGTCTTGGAAATATGATCTTAAGAGACATAGTGACAGACTCATCAGAGAAATTATAGGCTTGTAGTTTCCTGACCATGTGCAATAGAAGGAGAAACTCAAATGCTTTGCCAGTGTCAGTAGGGATGACTCTCACAAACTTTCCTTTGTCAATGGCCAGTCTCCAATCTTCTATGAGTTTCATTGAGGTCCTCTGACAGTGGTGACCTTTTCTGTAGGCTGACATGTTTCGGGAAAGATGCGAATCCACTTTGGTTACTACTTGCTTGCTTAGCAGCTGTTGAAAGATTTTTGTTTAAAGCATTTAAGACTGTCACTGGCCAATAGTCCTTCTCCATTTTGGCATCTTTCTTGAAAATAGGTACCCCATCCCCTCTCTTCCATCTCTTGGGATAACACCCAGATGTTATTGATAGATTAAAGATTTTTGTTGGTGAGAGTGCAAGTTCCTTTGCGGCTAGCTTCAAGATTCTTGGCGGTATTAAGTCAGGACAAGTGGACTTTGAGGGATTAAGACCATCTAAGGCTTTAGCAGTTTCACCATAAGAGATCTCTGTAAATGTGAACATATCAGCAGTGGGCCAGTTGTTTTCAATGTTTGTTACACTTGGAGGGGCTGTAAAATTGTGTTCTGTTGAAGATAAGCTGGATTCATCACCAATATTGTTAGCCAAGGTAGAAAAATAACCAGCAAATTCTTTGACAACTACGTTTTGGTCTTTAGCCACAGTTCCATTCACATTCAATAACATACAATTGCTACCAAAGGATCCATTTCTGTTTGCCAGAAGAGGTTTGAACATTTTGAAGAATCCCTGTGGTTTATAGTTCAACTCCTCAGATTTTATGTTAAGAAATTTTTTTTAATGGCAGTGTGTCATTGTTTTGAAGCTGCATTTCTGGTCTTCCTTTTCATTTCCCATTCTCCTCAGTACTGTTGTTTGCATATGTTTTTGCTGCCTTTCTCTTGTCCCTGATTGCTTTCTTCCAGTTCTTGGTCATGAAAGGGACATCTTTAGATGGCACACTTTTTTTTTACTGGATGTGTTCATCAGTAACGTAGTTGACAAGAACAATAATCACAGTTTTCTTCAAGAGATTCAAGTATGTCCATAACATACCATGGTGCAGTAACTAGGTTGTTCCTAAAGACTTCTTCATCCAGTTTTGTGTAACTTCTTCACAAGAGAATTTTAGAGGGGTAATTGACCTTATTATTCACAGTACCATAAATCATGGGCATGATCACTTAATCCCAAGACCTAAGGAAATGAAGCCCTTTTGGCTGACTGTGCATTTTAGTATCTTGATCTACTATATAATTTTGTTGGTTGATGCTTTATGGGGTCCTCCTTGTATACAAGGCTAATTACATGTAAGTTTGCAGAGCAGCATGTAACTTTTAAAAGCACAAATCTTGTTTTTGCATTGAACCACCTGTAAGAAATTGCATTGTATACATTGACTTCTAGTTGGATATTGTTTCTTTTTTCTTCCAACCAACAACACAGCTTTAAAACTCTGAGTTGATATTTTCCTAAAATGTTATGCCATCAAAACACTCTTAGGGGCATTGTCAAACAAGATTTTAATAATCAGGAAAGCATTGTTTACTTGTTTGTCTCACCCACAATTTACTATCTGGTTTCCAGAGGAGGACGTTGGATTGGCTAATTGTTTTGAAAGAGATGTTGCACCTGACAAGCAATAACTTCCTTAGAGAACAACACTCTCTCTTTTTTTCTTTATTTTCAGTCTATGGATTCTTTGTTTTTACATTTCTTACATCACTTTTATGTGTATTTGATATTGCACTATTATGCTCTTGTAGTGTATTTGATTAAGAAAATTTGCAATAATGTATAATGCACTATATTTCATCCACCTCATGGTGCTGAAAACACTTCCAAGATGGTGAGAGATGATGAGAAATTTTCACTGGAAAAAGAGTGTACATTACACATGGTCTGATATGAGTCAATCACTTGATGTTTATTTAATTAAAGTAGCTCACAAAACTTTATTGCACAATCATTTTTGATTAATTATATCTTATAATTATATGTTATTACATTGTTTAATATCATATATTATGGTGACATTCATGCATATAAATGATCAAAAAGTGCATTAATTTGTTCACATGTCCACAAAACATATCTTCAATTATAATACACAAATTAGATTTCTCTATTTAACATTTTTGGACTTAGATTTATGGAAACATACAATCTCCACATTTTGTTTCAACTAAATGGTTCAAAGTGACTAATGACTGAAAAAGATACCAAAAGGCAACTTTTTGACAAAATAAGCTTGGGGGCCTGTTATGCAATTAATGCTGATGGCATCTTTGTGGCCATCTTCCACCAGTTTTCTTCTGTTTCTTTGTAAGTTTTTTTAACTCCGTCTTTTCCTGACCATGCAAAGTTTTCCACTTTTTTGTAGACTCTGGCTGTAGTCCCTGGCTTGGCTCAAACAGTGTTTACGATATCTAGGAATTTTCTTTATACATTTACTTCAATTTTTGATCGATGACACTATTTTTAACTTACTTTGGCATTTGAGAAAGGTTTTTCCTCAAGTTTTTCTGTCTAAATGGACATTTCTGATGTGCTGAAATGCTGTTTTGCTGTGACTGAAACAGTGTGGGGAAGCCACTGTATTGCTTATGACTTGCCTGCAGTGGTAACAGTATACCAAAAACTTGCTAATCCGCCCCAAGACGATATCGACGACAGTTCACGTGTTTTTTTTCTACGTGGTACTTAAACGCACCAGCGCGGGGAAAAATGGTTCCGCAACATGTCACTGTTCCTGGCCATTTCGTGTCGTCGACTACATCTTCTCCAGCCCAATTCTATTTTCTTCTTGGTGCCGATGACGTGTCTCTTTCTTTGCGATGGCTTGATTAGTCTTTCTACAGTTCTTAAGGACTGGTCTTTCCGTCCAACATCTTCCCAGCTATCCCGCCGCGTGCTCTCGACGGCAGGTTCAAAAGACAAATCACGAACTTGAGCGGTACACGGAATGCACACCCAGTCGATGTCGCTGCAATTCTTAACGGCATCTCGGTAAGTTATGGGTTTCTAACCTCAGTTTAGCTGTGGCTAATATGAGTTTAGCCAAGTTAACAAACCTGCAGTCAAGAAATATAGCGTTTGGTGAGCCCTAACCTGAGGTTGTTTAACCTGTCTATTGAACAACTAGGCCTACACGTGGGGTTGCTACTGTGAACTTCGAGTTTAAAGTCATGCTGTGCATAACTTCCTGATTAGAAAAACATGTCTACTGGTTTTCTAGCACGTTGTTAAGCTTTTCCGCTATTGTTTCAGAATATTTGTGCCCCTTTGGTAAGTTATCATAAAAAAGGTTGTCTATGAACCCAAAATGAATGGGTGAGTTGGGTGACTTGTCTACATTACAGACTTCTGAGATCCTCACCAGTCGGTGAGACAGGTAACATTTCCACATTACAGGCCTTTGGAGATCCTTACTGGTTGCATGTTGGTCCCTTTGTTTCAGGTTTGTAAGACTTGCTTAACATGGCCGCTGTATCGTCAGAAGGAAGGTTCAGGATTGCATTTGTATTGTCCTGTAGGGGTCCCTTCCTGGTGACAACCCACAACAATAATTTTTTTTCCTGGTCTGATTTTCTTTCCTTTCATTGTCTAACAAATAGTGCAAAGCAATGCACTCCTTGCATTTAAAAAAAAAACATACTGATATCACATGGCCAATAGTGGATATGCCTTTTATCTTGGAATGTTGCATGTAACACGGTTACCTTGGTGACATTGCTAACTTACATTTAGTGTAGGGTTTCATAATAAAAAAAAACTTGAGCATTAACTTGAACAGCTCATTAGTGAAATGGAAATTATTAGAAAAGTTATTACAAAATTACAACTATTAATAAATAAAAGTCTCTCCCTTCCATTTACAGGATCTATTTATTATTTTTCTACGTACATAATTCAAATATAGATTTAAAAAGAAAAATATATAGTAGGAACTAATAATTACGTATTAATGTATGGTTAAAATTAATATAGCTTAAAATGATACAGCTTAAAAAAATGTGCAGACTCCTCTTTTCTCTGCTCGTATCAAAAACCCGCTCTACAAAAGCATGTTCAGTTGACCCATGACGAGTTAATTTCTAACTGACTGCGCATGCCGGTGTGTCCTCAAACGCCAAGCACAAATACATCTTTTCAGTTATCTCTGTCGGGTCATATGAAAAGTACATTCCTGTAGAGGGACTGACATTTCAATTAACTCTGCCAGCAGACTGTTATCATCAGAATTACAAGCCGAGACGTACTTACCAATTAAGTGTGCAAGTTTCTCAAAAATTCACTTTTGTTTCAGTAGATTTCATTTCTTTTCGGGGCCATCTTCAGCTGGACCATCGTCTGGCATGTGAAAACATAAAATGTTACTCATAATCAAAAACTGAACTGAATGAAAATTGATAATTTTTTTTTCCACCTGCTTCCTTCAATTGTGTCCCAGAAACGCCAGATGATGCATCAAAGAGAAATGAAAAAAGTTATTGAAACATTCCATTTTGGAAGATAATTCATTATGGATGTTGCTTCAAAAACGTCTCTCAACCTAAATTCTACAAATCACAAGCTATATTAAATCACACATTCAAGTTGACGAAGCAATCAGAGGCAAATTTTTTTATGATAGGATGAATGATCTTAAGTATCAAGATTATTTTGTGGCTAAATATTGAAATGTTCGAGAGAAGAAATAACCGTAAACAGGTGTTTTTTTTACCACAGCACAAGGTTTTTTTTTTATGGTTGGGTCTTCCAAGCCATCAATTTGGGAAAACTTCATTTTCAAGAGGTTTTGTGTAGCCTCCACTTCTGTCACTAAGCCATCATCCAGGGTCCAAGATTAGTTTCTTGCGGTCAGTGAAGATCTCTGTGATCTACCTCTACAGCAGGTTCTGGAGGGTTCTCATTAATGAGAACTGTTTTGTCCTTGTCATTTTTTGGTGATGGGGGAGTAACTTCTGGCATATTATCTCCGTTAACTTCTGTAACGGGGCGAACGCTGACGTTATTCGATTCTTTAAATTATAGTGAGTTTACCAACTCCGTAAAGGACGAAATTTTTGTGGATAAAATTTCAAGCGTGTAACTACTCAAATTGTTTTGTACTTAAAATTCCGTTAAAAAATAAAAATACAATGAACGATAAAACTTACTTACTATTAAATCCAAGCTAAAAGAAATGATCTTTAGAAAAACTACCCTTTTCTTTGCTTTTGTTATTCTTCCAATCTCACCAATCCTTTTGATATGTCTTTCTGTATATTAAAATGTATTAAAGACGTGTGTATACCGTGCGTGTACCGAATGAAAGATAGCACCACATAATACAATAGATTGAAGTTCATAGCCTTCCTCCGCTTCGAGCTGCTTTCTCCTGGAGTGACTCCTGCTTTTATCTGGACGAGGTCTAAGGTTGAAGAGTAGGGTTTAAACTGATCTCTTGGTACGCTTCTTTTTTTTTTTATCGTAACAGCTGGATCTGTAGACGTTTGACGTATGGTTTTGATATGATCGTTCCATTTTGCAGCGTTGAACTTGGAGGGATTTTTTTTGGAGAGATCTTTGCTGTGATAACTAACTTGTCATTTATTGCTGTAAGAGGACTAATGTCTGGCAAAATCTCTCCTTTGACTCGTTTGCATTTGATGTTAGATTGGAGTGCAATATCCAGCCGGCGATTCAAGCTGTGATCTGTTGGAAGGGGTCTAGTATGTGAAGTAGATTTGCCGATTATGTAGGCTGATATTTGGGTACTTTTCTGGCTGCAGGTATTACTGTTACAGCAGGATCTGTATCGTGATGACGTCACCATTTCTATCTTGTGATAATGAGGCAGAGTTTCTGCTCAAGGTTCATCGTCTGCCATTTCTCACGTCTCCAGCTGTGAAAGAAAAGACCCAAAAAGAAAAAAACATCTTAGGTTATCATGTAAGC